AATAGGGGCGCCTGGGTGGCGCAGTCGGTTAAGCGTCCGACTTCAGCCAGGTCACGATCTCGCGGTCCGTGAGTTCCAGCCCCGCGTCGGGCTCTGGGCTGATGGCTCAGAGCCTGGAGCCTGTTTCCGATTCTGTGTCTCCCTGTCTCTCTGCCCCTTGCCCGTTCATGCTCTGTCTCTCTCTGTCCCAAAAATAAATAAACGTTGAAAAAAAAATTTAAAAAAAATAAAATACAGAAATACATTTTGATGGATAAAAGTCTAGCATCTTCATAGATAATAGTAACTTATTCAAGGACGTCTCAGTAAAATAACACAAAAAGCTATCCCTGATATTCATTTGAGTTATGTTTTTTCTGGATAAGCAAAGACATAGTATTACTGGAAAATACACTTGAACCATATCGTAAGTGAAATTTAATGAATCTTCAGGTTTGGATAAACATAAATATTCATAAATGAAAATAATATCTTCCCATGAGAACTCCATATGAAATAGTTTCTGACCTGCAGATTGCTGCGAAAGAGGACAGATTTAGTCCATTAGTTCATTTTTTATTTCTTTTTTTCATTTTTTTTTATTTTTTTCTTTTTTACTTATATCAGGAAGTAAGTAAAATTAAGGAAGAATAAACTCATGAAAGCAAAAGAAAAAATAATAATTTGATCAAGGAGTCTGGCAAGTTTCTTCAAATAAATACCTCATTCAAAACTGGAGTCTGTTTCAGTGCCTGTTAAATATGAATTTTTTCCTGAGAAAGGAAAATCTCAAAAAAATAGTGGCATTCTCTGAAAAAAAAATGCCTCCTTCATTTTTGTTGTATTCAACACTCTTAGATAATGGACAATTTATATTCATTATGGAACAGCTAACTAGGGCTTTTTCCATTATGGAAAACCTTTTCAGTCATCCCAGGTAACTTTCCCTATTAGAAAATAATGGTATTTAAACAAAGGGTAAGCATGATCAGCTCTCCCAGAAGAAGCCAGAGGAATTTTAAGGGAGGCATTCTATTCAGGAGCATTTCAAGGTTACAGGCTAGGATATACATATGAAAATGCACTAAAATGTGGGCAGTGAGGGAATGACCAAAAGGAAAAGTATAGACTTCAGAAGGGTAGTCATGACTTTAAGTTCGCTTTACTTAAGGAAAATGTTCTGAATATTTTAGTTGTTTCCCCTCTTTTGTGCTTATAGACTACATTGTACATTGCCTATGAACACATATTTTTTTAATATTGTGTGGCAATTATCATTCTTCCTCACTAGAAAAATAAGGTCCAAGAAGACAGAGATCATGTACCTTGTTCCACTGTCAATATCCCCAGTACCAAGAATAGTGCCTGGCAAATGGTAGATGCTGAGTAAATATTTGCTGAATAAATATTTGCTGAATCCACCACATTCTAAACATGGCTCTAGGTGTTCCAGGGGATATAAAGGTGTTTAAGACCCAGCCCTTCACTTCAAGGGATTTCTGGCCTCATTGTGGTAAGGTGGGATTGGCAGGGGAACAGAGGCATAAATAAGACACAGACACAAATTACTAACTAAAAAGTAGATAATGTTAGGTACTTTGAGAGAGATATAAATGAGTATTTAAAAAGGGGGTTAGCATAACAGTGTTGAGTTCATCACAAAAGTGTCCACGAAGAACAGAAAAAGGCTTTTACAAATAGGTAGGACTAATATTCAAAAAGAAGATATTCCAGGATGAGTAGCATAATGTGCAAATGCTTGTGGGAAAAAAAAAAAAAGGTCAGTTTGAACAGTAAGGAGTTCCTTTCGGCTGGAGTGTGGATCATGCCAGGAGAGTAATGGGAGACAAAACTCTAAAGGTAGGAGGCACTGTATTTTAAGGAGGCCATTGACTACAAGGCTATGCACGTTGTGATTTGATGAGCAACAGGGAGTCATTAATGCTCTTTAAAAAGTTCATTTCAGAAAAATATCTGATGGCATTATACATAATAGATTAGGAAAAGATATGGGATAGGGAGACAAATTCAGTTAATGAAGGCCTGAACTAGAGTAAAAACAATGTGAATTTTAAAAATGAGATGGTTGTGTTAAATAATGCAATTGCAGAAAATAGTAATATCAGTTATAACTCATGTGTTTATTGGGCACTTATTATGTACCAGACACTATGCAAAATAGATTCCATACAATAGCACAATTAATTCTTACACTGACTCTATAGGTTAGGTACTATGATTATTCTGATTTTACCAATGAGAAAATTAAGGATCAGAGAGGTTTAGTCATATACCCAAGGTCACATAGCTATTAATTGAAAGATCAGAAATTTAAACCTAGGTCAGTCTAACTTCTAAACATACATTAATTCCCCCCATAGTATGCTATTTCCTCCTTAGAAACTTGTTTGGAAGTGGAGAATAAGTGACAAAGAGTCAATGCCTACAAGACTTTGAGACAACCTGGGAAAATATTGATGAACTTAATAGCAATAAGGAAACCTAGAGAAGAATCAGGTTTGAAGTTTTGAGAGATGATAATTTTTGTTTGGGAATGTTGATTTTTATATTCAACTAATTTTTATTACTGTGACGATTTCATTCAACTAATACTGAGAACTTACTTTGTCTTTTGCACAGTCTTTGGTTCTAGCATACAGCAAAGTAGACAAAACATAAGAATCCCTGTCTTCATGGACTTTACATTCTAGTAGGGAAAATATATAAAAACAAAATAAGTAAAAAAAACCATAAAGTATGTTAATTATGAATGAAAATGAATAAAATAAATACTGAAAGGAGATGCGGAATGTTGGAAGAGAATTGCTGTTTTAAGTAGAAACATCAGGGGAAGCCTCACCAAAAGGTAACATTTAGGTAAATATCTGCAGGAGATGAATGAATGCAAGAAGTAAATAACTGGTCTAAAGCATTTCAGGCACAGGGAACTGCCAATTCAAAGGCTTTGAAGTAGGAGTTTACTGGTCTGTTCACCTAACAGCAAGAATGGCAAAGTGGCTGGAGCAGAGGGCAAGAGAATATTAGGAGGTAAGCTTGATATGTAATGGGGACCAGATCATGTAAGAAGATGTAGGCCATTGAAAAGAACTTTGTTTTTTCCTCTGAGAGAAAATGTCATTAGGAGATTTTTTTCCAAAGAGGTGACATAATCTGACAAGACATATTCTGAATAAATAGTAAAGATCACTTGCATGTGTTGAATTTTGAAGTGATAATGAAATATTCAAGAGAAGAGTTCTTATGTATAGTTGGAAAGAGCTACAGCTCAAATGAAATCCAGAAGAGTCATTGGTCATGATAGGGAAGACGGATGTTCAATAAAGGTTCACTGGATGTATATTTGTATAAATTTCTAATGTTTATTCAGTGACATTAGAAGATAATGACTTCTATATAGTTAAAAGGAGGTTGGAACCCCAGGCTTTTGATCGGTCTGCCACCTGATTTGGCCTGTCACCTATCCAAAATCACTACCTGCGAAAATATTACAAAGATGTATTTCAATTTCAGAGTTAAACAACCTCTAATTTTAATTACTCTTTCAACAATAATGCTTTACAATTGTGTTTCCTTGTATTTTATAACACCATGTTTCTACTTTGCCCTTAACTGAGAAATCTCAAGTACTTAACCTCTTCAGTATGATGCATAGTTCATACTTTACATCAGGTCTTTTAGTTAAAGTGAACACTATGTTTTTGAACAAAATGTGCTATTTTTCTTATGAAGCAATTGAGGCAAAATAAGAACAATAACAATTCCTTCAGGGGCTGAATAAAGCACACTTTAAGCCACATGGATTTGATAATATAAAGCAGAATGTTTCATAATTCTTATTTCACTTTTGTTCTTCCCACATATCTTTAAGCCAGTTAAATCCTCCTGGATTTCAGCAGCCTTGGGGCAACTATCCAAGTTCCTAAGCTAAAATTTATTTACCTCAGACAAAGGTCATGAGTCCAGTCGATTCAACCACCTTGGAACTTGGACTCTCTCTACTGGTGCTATGTTTTGTTATCTTGGATAGTTAAGAGGTGACTAAATGATCCATGTCAATGAACTATTTATAGAGAGGCTGATTTGCAAAGATGTGAATGGAGCCAGAGTGTTTTATGCTAAGCGAAATAAGTCAGTCAGAGAAAGACAAATACCATATGATTCCACTCATATGAGGAATTTAAGAAACAAAACAGATGAACATATGGGAAGAGGGAAAAAGAGAGAGGGAAACAAACTGTAAGAGACCCTTAAAGATAGAGAACAGAGGGTTAATGGAGGGAGGTGGGTGGAAGATGGACTAAATGAGTGATGGGGTATTGGGGGCAGTTGTGTTGAGCACTGGTTGTTATATGTAAGTGATGAATCACTAAATCACTGAGATTAATATTACACTATATGTTAACTAAAGAGAGGCTGGTTTCCCACTTATTTTCAGACATATGAGAAGGATTCCTGCCAAATCAGTGGCCCCTAAAATCGTGGTTCAACAAGAAATGCTCGGTCAACTATATCTTAATCATATGGGAAACTTTTAAAAAATACAAATTTGGGGCCTTCTATAATGAATCAGAATCTCTGGAGGAGACACCAGGAAAGCTGTGGAAAACTGTATTTTTTTAACACCATCAGATGAGTCTGACAATGTGATTTGTGACTCAATGGTCTAAATCAGAGCCCCTCAAATTTTAATATGCATAATAATCACCTGTGGTTCTCATTAAACTGCAAACTGATTCCAAAGGTCCCAGGTGGGGTCTGAGAGTCTTCCCCATTTCTAACAAGCTCTCAGATAACGTTGGTTCAGTCACAGACTACATTACCTCTCAAGTTACTTCTAGCTGTGCTTTCCAGTGATTCTAAAGTACCTTATAGAAACTGGCTTATCACCCTAACTTCAGAATTTTCCATTCAAATTAATAGATTTTTGTATACATAGCCTTTTTCTTTTTTTGCAAAAAATGCAGACAATAATTGGATTATTTGTTTTTTTTCATTTGCAGTGCTGCCTTTGTTTCCCAATTTTTAGCTTTCAACACATAACTGAAAAACTCTCAGAAAGCTGATCTATCCAAGCTAATCATCTCTGAAGAATTGCAGACTCATTCAGTACTAAAGCAAATCTTTCTTCTATGTGAGCCAAAAATAAGGAAAAACAGCCTGTCAAACACCTGTAAAGAGATGGCTATCATCATATGGAAATTTGAAGAGCTTCTATGTGGCACATTCATGATCCAAATGGGAATCAACTTTCATGATATCCCAGAAGGCCTTATAACAGAGTAAACAAGAGGGTAAATTATAACAGCTTGTCACCTGTGTTTGCACACTAGACTTCAGTGTAGTTACTATAAAAGAAAATCCAAGGAAAATATGCAGATAGTTCTTTGAAAACCCCAAAATTATGTGCAGTGGCTCAGACCAAAGCAGGAGAAAGGAAGCTATTTTACACTCACTCTGTACAACCCATTGATAAGTCTTTTAGAAAGAGTAGCAGTTGATTGTGAATTTATGTTTTGAACCACCATTTGGCAAAGGTAGTTGCTCTGGAAAGGAACATGCCTGCAAATGACACTTGTGCTGTGCCAAATGGAGACAATGGAGATTTTCGATATTTTATCTATGCAGTGACATACACTGTAATTCTTGTGCCAGGTCTCATAGGGAACATATTAGCCTTGTGGGTATTTTATGGCTATATGAAAGAAACCAAAAGGGCTGTGATATTCATGATAAACTTAGCCATTGCTGACTTACTACAAGTTCTCTCCCTGCCACTGAGGATCTTTTACTACTTGAATCATGACTGGCCATTTGGGACTGGTCTTTGCATGTTCTGTTTCTACCTGAAGTATGTCAACATGTATGCAAGCATCTACTTCTTGGTCTGCATAAGTGTGCGACGATTTTGGTTTCTCATGTACCCCTTTCGCTTCCATGACTGCAAACAGAAATATGACCTATACATCAGCATCGCTGGATGGTTGATCATCTGCCTTGCCTGTCTGCTCTTTCCTCTCTTCAGAACCAGTGATGACACTTCAGGCAACAGAACCAAATGCTTTGTGGGTCTTCCTACCAGGAATGTCAATCTGGTCCAATCTATTGCCATGATGACCATTGGTGAGCTGATTGGGTTTGTCACTCCTCTTCTGATTATCCTTTACTGTACCTGGAAGACAGTTTTATCACTGCATGATAAATATCCTGTGGTCCAAGACCTTGGGGAGAAAAAGAAAGCCTTGAAGATGATTCTAACCTGTGCAGGAGTATTCTTAATTTGCTTTGCACCTTATCACTTCAGTTTTCCTTTAGATTTCCTGGTCAAGTCCAACAAAATTCAAAGCTGCCTAGCCAGAAGGGTGATTCTAATATTTCATTCCGCTGCCCTCTGTCTTGCTAGTCTGAATTCCTGTCTTGACCCAGTCATATACTACTTCACCACTAATGAGTTCAGAAGACGACTTTCAAGACAAGAGAGCATCCAACTCCATGGAAAATCCTTTGTGAATATATGAAGTGAATTAGCACCAGCAATTTTATCTGTGAACCTAAGACACAGAGAGTATTTGCTTGGGCTCATCATAAGCACTTAGTTTTGCTGCAATGGACACTGAGTCTTGGTACTTAGAGGCAATGTAGTTGTCTATTTATTATAGTAATCACAATTTATATTCAAATATAATATTTTTATTGTATTTTCAGTAGGATGAACAACACGTTATTCTGTGAAAACAAAGTGGTATAAACATGGAATCATTTTTATCTCTCATGTGTGATTATACAGTAAGGTTTGAAGACTTAAATAACTATTTCCTACATTTAAGTGTCATTATTAAACATCATCTGACACACCTATTCATAAAATGAATATTCAAACTCAAGCTTCTGGTAAGTTTAAAGTAAGAACAGGAAACAAATACACATACAGTAATTTCTATGACTGTATAAGATGCCATATTGAATCTACCAGGTCAGATACCTTGCCAAAATACATATGATGTGACCCAAATTGCCTCTATAGGGCCAGAACAGATCCTATAAGTGACAATCACAGTTCTGGTTCTCTTAAACTATTTCTAAAGAACACCTATGGAAATGTATTGACCTGCCTAGAAGAGAGAGTTTCCACCATGCTTCTAGACTAACATTGAATATCTCTGACAGTTTTCTGGTCCAGTTTTACCCCAGTCATACCATTGTGAGGCCTGCACAGCCTACTTCCCAGCAGCTGGGGAAGGAGATTCATCTTCTGGGAAGAAGTGCAGAAGACTAAGAGTAGTAATTAAATCTGAGGTTTTAAATATTATAGTACTTTGAAACATGTTTTAACAAAAATCTCTAACTTTAAAAAGTGATTTACCTAAGATCTGTGCACTATATAATAAAGACACATGCTACTACTCATCTGGAAGGAATGTGGGAATCAACCAAGGGCTCCATCATATTTTTATAAAAAGGAGTTGTTTTATGCACATAATTATGATACTAATATGATTGGAGGAGAAACTGGTAAAATCAAAATTATTTCTAATATCTGAGAGGAATGGAAGATTTTCTAATGTTTTCTCTGGACAAGTATTGATTTTGCATGTACTTTATTATTAAAATAATAACCTAGTAGAAAACACACTTTGTGCTGCTAAATAGTGTATTTATATCCTAATTATTCATTGCAAGGTCCATATTTTTATGTGTTAAATGAGTTATGAATGAGTGTTAAGTTGTGTTTCAGAGACTGTAACTATCTCTGTCTGGTCTGTTTTCTTTAAAGTGATTTATTTTTGAATATAATTTAGTGTTGTAATGGTATCAAAAGTAATAATTTTATGAGTACTTATAATGGAAGAGTCTTACCTATACTATATTTCATTACTACTTTTTATATTAGAATGGATTACACTTCTTAGGGTCATTTTGGGATACCAGAGACTTCATTTTTTTAATATAATTTATTGTCAAATTGGCTTACATACAATACCCGGTGCTCATCCCAACATATTAATTTCACTTTAAACATATTTTTTTTTCTAAAAGGGAGGGAAAATCTTTCTAGAACATTACTACATTTCTTAGAGGAATGGTTGAAGGGGTTAAAGCCATTTATTAGGTGGTCCAGAAGCCGTTGCAGCTAATTTACATCATGCAAAGAGAGGACAAATGTCCTGTATTCTTATGCTGCTTAGCTAGGACCACCCAATAAATCTGATCAATTTATTCATACTGAGATGCTAGTGAATAATGTTGGCATAGTATGAACTTGCCCAGGGATATCTGAATCCAAGGTTTAGGGATAAACTTTAATTCAAAGTGTTAATCATTTATTTTTAATGGAAGGATGAAAGACACTGAAGAAAACTGGAGGGGAAGATATTTTTAAGAAAATGGATTTTACATCAGTGTCTTTCAAATTATACACAGTAAATGATCACCTACTTTGCTTACCATAATGGGGATGCTAAATTCTAAGAAATATATCCACAAGAATGGTTATTAGTTTCAGATCTCTGCTTATTTCCTTTTCCTTTGGAATTTATGCCTTCCAACTCAGTACCTGATTTCCAGGAGAAAAACATTGCTTTTAGGAGTAGGAGAAATGGAATAGAATAGAGACCCCAGAATTGGACCCACAAATATATGGCCAACTAAACTTTGACAAAGCAGGAAAGAGTGTCCAATGGAAAAAAGTATAGTCTTTTTAACAAATGGTGCTGGAAGAACTGGACAGCAACATGCAGAAGAATAAAACTAGATCACTTGCTTACACTGTACAAAAAAATAAACCCAAAATGGATAAAGGACCTGAATGTGAGGAAACCATGAAAACCCTAGAGGAGAAAGCAGGAAAAAAACCTCTCTGACCTCAGTCACAGCAATTTCTTGCTTGACACATCTCCAAAGGCAAGGGAATTAAAAGCAAAGATGAACTATTGGGACCTCATGAAGATAAAAACTTCTGCACTACAAAGGAAACAATCAACAAAATTAAAAGGCAACCAATGGAATGGGAAAAGATGTTTGCAAATGACACATCAGACAAAGGGCTAGTATCCAAAATCTATAAAGAACTCACCAAACTCCACACCCCCAAGACAAATAATCCAATGAAGAAATGGGCAGAAGACATGAATAGACACTCCTCTAAAGAAGACATCCAGATGGCCAACAGGCACATGGAACGATGCTCAATGTCACTCATCATCAGGGAAATACAAGTCAAATACCACACTGAGATACCACCTCACCCTGGTCAGAGTGGCTAAAATGAACACATCAGGAGACTATAGATACTGGCGAGGATGTGGAGAAACGGGAACCCTCTTGCACTGCTGGTGGGAATGCAAACTGGTGCAGTCACTCTGGAAAACAGTGTGGAGGTTCCTCAAAAAATTAAAAATAGATCTGCCCTATGACCCAGCAGTAGCACTGCTAGGAATTTACCCAAGGGTTACAGGAGTGCTGATGCATAGGGGCACTTGTTCCCCCAATGTTTATAGCAGCACTTTCAACAATAGCTAAACTATGGAAAGAGCATAAATGTCCATCAACTGATGAATGGAAAGAGAAATTGTGGTTTATATACACAATGGAATACTGCTTGGCAATGAGAAAGAATGCAATCTGGCCATTTGCAGCAATGTGGATGGAACTGGAGGGTATTATGCTAAGTGAAATAATCCAGAGAAAGACAGATACCATATGTTTTCACTCAAATATGGATCTTGAGAAACTTAACAGAAGACCATGGGGGAGGGGAAGGGGAAAAAAGTTACAGAGAGGGAGGGAGGCAAACCATAAGAGACTCTTAAGGACTGAGAACAAACCCAGGGATTGATGGGTGGTGGGGGAAAGGGGAAAGTGGGTTACGGGCATGGGGGAAGGCACTTGTTGGGATGAACACTGGGTATTGTATGGAAACCAATTTGACAATAAACTCTGTTAAAAAAAAAAAAAGGAGTAGGAAAGATGTGCTACTGCACCTGACATTCAAATGGCAGCTTCTTTGTGCTTTTTTTCCTTGAAGAATCCTCTTTTTGAATCTCCTATTTACTAATTTCTTGGTTCAATGAAATCGGGGTGCAAAAAGTAAGCACCCTCAACCTCAGTAATATACAATTCAAGATAAATAAGCTCACATTTCCCATATAAATGTTTTGAGTTCTGATTCCAAAATATACACAGAATTATTCCAAAAACAGATATTTTGAATATGGAGTGACTTCTGTATTATTATTGCTGTCATTATTGTTTTTTTTATTATATTCAAATGGTTTATGTGTTTTCATTATCAGTTAATTACTCAGCTAATTCTATTAACCTGTAATTCCATACAAAAAGAGCTCCTACCCTAGGAACAACAGATCGAGCTACCTTGATCTGAAAAAGTACATAAGTGGAACTTTGTGCAACTTCTTTATTATATCATCTTTTTGTTTTTACTCTGAAGACACTGTGAAATTCTTGCACTTATAATTTATTTACATTTGTAAGTTATAAGTTTAATTTTAATAATAAAGATAGTCTCTGTAGTTACATAGAAATTTTATGCCTCCAGAGGTCAATGTATATTTAGTGACTTCTTCAGAAAATGTGAAACTTAAGGATATTTTTCTGTATTCTCATACACATAGATAAGTCCCATGAGACTTCACTCTTCCTTTCTCTCACTGGAGAGGTGCATTATATTCTCAGAAAGATGAGGAACTTCCCCCATCTTATTCTACCCCTATTTTCCACTTCTCCCATAGATTGATTCTTTATCCACACCTTATTGAGATTATTCCTATCCCTCACTTGTTGACCAAGTCTATTTGAATAACTTACCCTATATTTTCTAGAATGCAGTTTATGGGCATAAGGTGAGATGAGGTGACAGAGGAAGTGTTTTTTCCTTAAGTCTTATGTGTTGTTAAGATGACAGTCTGATTTTTTGTGGATTGGCAGGAGGAAAAAAACACTATATTCCACTGTCTTCGTTTACTTTTCCAAAAACAGATATAAAAACAAACAGTGATGACAGTATAGTTGCTGTTGGCCCTCGTCTCATCTTAGTTCTTTTTCTTCCTCTTTAGCAACTCCCTTTTTATTTTACCTATATCCCTAGTGCTTTGGGGAGACCCAGGTATCTTCTGTAATAACCAAGTTGTTAAGAATTACATTTTGGCTGTTGATAAGAAATAATTTCCTAGGAAGTGTTAAAGGCTTTTCTAAGGAGAAATTTCTGATGTTTTGGTAGACATGAAGAAAATAATGGGATAAAAATATGAGATCTGGCCCATGTTTCCAATGTCCTAAAATCACATATACATCTTCTCTGTGCCTTCCTACAGCCAGGCCAGAAGTAACTTCACTGCCTTCACTGCCATATTTTGGGGGGAAGGAGTGAGAGATAAAACTCCCAAGTAAATGTGGTTCTTTTAACTTATTCCTCAGTTATAGAAGATGTGATATATGTTTGGGGAACAAGGCAATGTATTGTAACTTTCTTGAACTTTATTAACTATTTTCTCAGCAGAACCATTTCGTGAACCTTAAACACTTATTTGGTTTTGCAAAGACCATATTTTTATTCTATTGTTTGTTGGCTTTTATTTACCTAACTCTTTACTACACATCTGCTATGTCATCTATAGACATAGCTTTTATTTGATAGCTTACATTTGTCTTCTTGGATCTCTTCAAAGAATAATAGAACTCCCCTTGGCAGTGGGGGCTGTTATTAAGCCTCTCACCCTGACCCAATTGTCTTCTTTTTGCAAGAGCTTCATAAGCAGAGTTGAGAGACAGACAGGATTTTTGCTCTTCAAAGTTAGATTTTGGGCATAATGGAAAGACTTTTTTCAGCCCTTTCCAAGCAATATTGAATATTCACAACCTATTCACTGACAAGTATCATTCATACTTTTTAAAATGCTAATCTAATAATAAGAAAAAATAAATTTTAAAAAAGCAGCTTGAAACACTAATGGTCCAAGTATAGGGCTCATTCAAGTATTTCATTGAAGGAACACATGAAAGAAGTAGCCTTATAACCTCCTCACCATGCTTGCATAAATTCAAATATGTTAATACTAGGTTAAAAATGGTGTGAAATCACAGTGGTGTCTTATGTCACTAAGTTTAACCTTTTCACTTAGATGCATGTGTGTGTGTGTGTGTGTGTGTGTGTGTGCATGTGTGTGCGCATATGTCTGTTTAACTATGGAAAAGTTCAAGTATTTTCAAAAGAAGAGCAATTAGTATAATGATCCCCCATGTACCTGTTATTCAGTTTCTAACAACATCAACACATGGCCAATCTTCTTTTTCTCTGACTATACCTATTTTCCCTACCCCATATTACATTAAAGTACACTTCACACATTATGTAATTCCATCGTTAAATATTTTAATAAGTTACAGTACTATTTATTTTTTAAAGGATTTATTTATTTACTTTTGAGAGAGAGACAGTTTGAGTTGAGGATGGGCATAGAAAGAGGAGGAGAAAGAGAATCCCATGCAGCCTCCATACTATCAGTGTGGAGACTGATGTGGGGCTTGAACCCACAAACCATGAGATCATGACCTGAGCCAAAGTCAGCTGCTTAACCAACTAAGCCACCTAGGTGCCACCAATAAGTTATAGTACT